ACAAAAATTTATTGAAATTATATTTATATTTATATTTTTTATAGAAAATACCAAGTAAAATTTCTTTTACTGTCGATACTTGAACCTTATCAAATAATTTGCTTTTTTTTTGGGAATTACAGCACACTGGATTTCCGAGAATTAGGAATTAAAAAATTTACTTTAGAATTTTATTAAACTCGAAGGACCACATTCAGGTGATAATATTGTTGAAGGTTTTTTAAAAAATCTTAATAAATATAATCTTTTAAATAAAGTAAGTTATATTTTATGTTCAAATAAACAAATATATTTACTTATTAAATTTTTTAAATAGATTTCTAGTATAACAACTGATAATGCAAGCAATAATATAACATTTCTTAAAGTGGTTAAAAAACCATTAAAAAAAATGATATTGAATTTAATGTCAACAATTAATATGTACAATGTTGTAATAAATCTATAGACGTACGATCAAAACCCTGATTTTCTCCTCAAAGTCAGGTGACAGCCTCTCAAACGTTCTTAAAAGACTATGGGTATTTTGATGAGAGAAACATCTTTTATTATTGGCCAAAAAGAAATTGTCAACACCAATTTCTAAATAATCAAGGATTCTCACCTCCGGCCATATAACACTAATGATTAGACTAAAACACATTGTCAACCTATCCAATAAACCTTAAAATTGAATAGATTAACGGACAACTGTAGCAGGGAGCCACTTAAGTTAGAGGAAAATAGCCTCAGTTGTGGTATACTAGAGTTGATAAGGTGAAGGAATTCAGCAAGGTTTATTTCAATACAAAGCAAGAGGCACGGTGATTTGGGTATAGGGTTTGATCAGTTTTTATTGAAGAGTTGGGAAGAGTTAGGAAAATTCCTTGGCCAGCTGGGAAGAACAGCTGTCCTATTTATACATCTTTGAATCATAAGAAAATAATGTAAACAAGAGTATAGATATGCCAGTTCTGCCATGTCTACTGGATCCGCTTGATCTCTCATATCAGCCATACCCGGCAGAAATACCATATTCATATGATCTACTATAACTATATGATCTACCCTATATGCTATATATAACTAATATACCAGTTATAACATATACTAACTATGAGATAAAAATAGTAATAATAATGATAATAATAATAAGAATAAAGAAATAATACACACCCTCTTTCCCATACACATATAATTACTATATTTGGAAATTAGGCAAGGAAAGAGAAGAATGAGTTCGCAAAGGACACTGAGAGGTTCAAGCACCTCTTCCAGGTCCAACTACAACATCAGCGACCTTACTAAAGGCAAGAGCGGCCGAAAAAGCAAAGAAACAACCCCATACACAGTATCAAAACTAGCAAAGAAACAACAACAGAAAAATGAAGTGACCGAAATACCCAAAGACAGTACAACAAAAACAGCCACCCCGGAGACAACTGCATCAACCCCAACACACCAAAAACCTAAGGAGGCAACCCACGAGGAAAAGATCCAGGAACTATGGAGCGATGAGGTAGAAAAAGTGGTGGCAGAAACATCCACACAAATGGATAGAATCCAGCAAGAGGCATGCAAATACATCAGAATTGATGACTCCGATGCGGAGATGGAAGAAATGGAGACAGACAACAACAACTGGAAAAGCAAGACAGGAGAAGAAAAGTAATGGTCAACATATAGCAAAGGTAAAGGCAAACAACCGTTGCAACAATGGAACAAACCCAGACCACGCTCCTCTTTCGATAGAAACAGCAGATACGGTAGACAAAGAAGCAAAGTAGGAATCAATGTCAACATGATTCCAGGGAAAAATACAAGCCAAAAAATGCAATACTTAACCAAAGCACTTGAATGTCCCGAAGGACTTCTTGCTATCCGCAGTGAAGGCAAAAATGATCAAGAGAAAATCATAGCCATTTTTGGTGATTAACAAACTGCAGAACACGCATGTAGTATCAAGTTACCCAATACAGAAGACAAGTACCTACAACACATGCCAATGATCAACTTGAGCACAAAAAAGGAAAACAGTATCAGGGTATGGGATATTCCCCTGGATGCCAGATATATTGAAGTACAACAAACTTTCATCAAGTATGGACAAATTACAGAAATCGCGATGAGCACACAGCAGATGTGACAAACTGCAACTATCACTTTTGAGGACAAGACAAGCAAGGATCAGATTATCAACATGTGGAGCATCCCATTTAAGGCAGACATGGTGCGGGTTTTTGATTCACAATGGGATCTTTCACAGATGAAACAGAGAGGACAAATCGCAGCTAAGCTTACAAACTTACCCCCAAATACAACAGCATTTGATCTACGTACTATACTACAGCTAACAAAGGCAAAAACATGCTACATCCCACGACGAGGAACATATTAAAGGAAAAGATTTGCAGTCATCAGTTTCGACACAGTGGAGGATTTACAGAGCGCAATCAATGAAACATACACAATCGGTAAAACCTACCTAAAATGGACAAATATAGACACCAAATTATGCGCCATATGTGACAATGACACACATTTGGCTGCCACATGCCCTATCAAAGAAAGAAGAAACCAATGAAACGCATACAATCAGGAACAAGCATTAAAGTTTGGAAAACTTTACGAGAAATACAAACCAGCAAAAACCAGTGACATTAGGAAACACACTCCAATGAAACAGCAAAGAAGAGAAAGCAAACCAGGGTCATATGCCGCCACAGCACGTGCAACCCAAAAACCACAGAACGAAATGACAAATCCATCTGGTTTACAAGAAGTATTACATATTCTTAAACAACTACAAGAAGATATAACAGAAATTAAATAGCAGATCGTAGAAATGGACGAAAGGATCACAAATCTAGAATACTATTATGAGAATGGCATGGGAGCAATGGAGGAAACAGAATCCACAGAAGGTCAAGATAGCGAAATAATGAACAACAAAAAATACATGAAAGCACAATTCAAGATATACAAATACAACAGAAGCAAATACATGTAACTATTCAAAACACCAACCAAACCATGAACAATCTTATGAACATGATTTACAATCTTATTTCAGGAGACACAAACAACACCACAAACAACTACTAATAGAGAACAATCAAACTATTAGCATAAACGCACAAGAAATTACCTCTAATCTTTCAAATTTTTATAACTCAATCGACAGACACCTAAACAACGAAACACAAACAACAGAAGAAACCAAAGAACAAACAATCAAGGGAAATTCAAGAGAACAAACTGATCACACAGCATCACAACAATTTCGAATACACCAGACCCACCTATAAACAAACAAACACAATGATTCCAATCAAAACAGACCAGAACTAAAACCATGGAAGACATGAAAGATCGCAACACATAATGTCTGTGGATTCAACGACATCACCAAAAGAGAAATCTGGTTAACATTCTGCAAAGAAGAGAGAATAGATATTGGAATTCTTACAGAAACACAGATCACGACAGACAAATCCAAACACTGGAAAATGCATGGATACCACACTACCTGGTGCAACGACAGAAAAGGAGGCGGTATTATGATCATGATCAAGGAGGACATTGCAAATCACATAGGAAATATTCAGACATACCCAGGGAGAGGCATATGTATAGATCTAAATTACAAAGGAAACAAACATATTAGTATAATTGGAGTGTACATGCCATGCAAAGAAAATCCAGACTACCGCCTGGTGGCAAAATGGGTACAAGATAAAATATGGACAAGACACAACAAGAATTGGCACATAATTACCGCAGGGGACTTCAACGCTCTACATAACCACAGCATCAATAAGAGACTACCAGGAAACAACTGAACACCAACATTACACACAATACAAATACTTACCCAACTCAACTATATAGATACCTTCAGAGAAGTATGGCCAAACAGAACACGCTTCACCTGGACCAACATGTGCACAACACAAACCAGAATCGACTACATATGGATGTCACCAAACGAAAGCTGAAATCTCATCGACGCAGAAATAGAGTCATCCAACATGATAACCAACAGTGACCATGACATTGCCACATGCAAGATCGAGATCACCGAAAATAATAACCCAATCGAAACAAAAGTACAATCACAAAAGACACAACATATTCGATACCAAAAACACCACAACCAAACAATGGGAAAACTACAAACAGCAAGTGGAAGACGCCATTACAGAACAAGACCAAAAACAACACCTTGAAACATACTTGGCAAACAAAACATGGAATCTAACATGGGATGTTATATGTAAGGCAATGCACAAAAATATCCGGAAAATAAGACAAAGACCTAAAGAAGCTCTTTACAGACAAGGATGCAACAAACACGCACAAATCACCAAATTAAGAAAACTCAACACATGGTCCAGACAATTCTTCACGCTTAACAAAAGAACAACCAACATCCAAGACAACATCATAAAGGTGCTGAAAGAAATAAACACAACAGAACAATATATAGAAAACCCTCCCTGGGAGGAGACAGATTCCAGATCCGAGAAGGTAAAAGATTGGATCAAGAAAATAAAACAGATATACACAATAACTAAAAACTCTCTGAAAGAAAATGACCGCAACAACTTGAGGAAAAAAATTAAAAAACAGATAGAAAATAGAATATCCAACTTCTCAGACAACAAATGGAAAATGATCAACTCAATCCTTAACAAATCAACCAACAGCATCACGATGAATAAGCTCATAACCACAACTCCAGAGCTCACAGTTATAACAGAACCAAAAGAGATCTTAAACATGGTGGAAAAACATTACCAACAGGAAAAATCAAGAGAGAAAGAGATAGAATATCAAGAGTGGAGAAGATGGGAACAAGAATATCGGCCAAAAAATACAATTATGAGCTTATGGTACCAAGAAACAATGGTTACAATTACAACAGAAGAAGTAAAAGGAGTTATCAATAAAATATCAAATGACTCAGCACCAGGAAAATCAGGAGTAAGCTACCCAATGCTAAAGAAACTAGGCGGGAAGGCAATCAACAGAATAACAAAGGTTTTCAACAAAATCTTAGTCACAGGAGAAATATCACGATGATGACAACACAACATCATATACCCCATCCCAAAGAAAACAGACTGGCAGCATCAGCTTAATTGGACAAGACCTATTACACTACTCGAAACAATTAAAAAAGTATTCACTAAAATTATTAAAAACAGGCTAGCACAAGTGTTTCTGGAACATAAGATATTATCAGACAGAAACTGGGCAGGACTATCAGAAGGAGGTACACAAGAACCAATAAGCATAATTAACAACATACTAGAGGAAGCCAAAGAGGGGAAAAAAGAATGTTGGATCCTCAGCCAAGACATAAGCAAAGCATACGATTCGATGCAACACAACCTACTGGAAAAAGCACTCAAGAGAATCAAGATACCTAGCAAAATCATAATAATAATTACAAACATGCTAGAGAATCGCAACAATCAAGTAATCACGTGCCATGGTCTGACCAAACCATACAAACCAGGAATCGGAATAGACCAAGGAGATACCATCTCCCCACTCTTATGGAGGATATATTATGACCCCCTCATTTGTAAGATTGAGGAATCCAAATTGGGTTACAAATTTGAACTCAAAACTCCAACAAAAAGACCATGCAAATGGAACACAAAATATGAAAGTATAGCATCGATTACATACATGGATGACACCTGTTGGATCACAAAAAGTTGGAAAAACATGCAAAAAATTACCAATACTGTGGAAAGCTTCGCCAAAATCGCTAATCTAACAATAAACCCAGACAAAGCAGCTCTCGTCACAATCAACTCAACAACAAAAAAAGCAATCAAAATGGAAAAATTCAAAATACATCAGAAAGGGAAAAAGGAAGCCACCTGAATATTGGAAGTATGGATCACAGCCACTGGAACAAAACACATCAACTGAATCTCATCAAACGAAAAGTACAAATCACAACACAAGCACTTAACAGAAGCCAGATCACAGATAAACAACACAGATACATCATCAACCATGTACTATTTCCAGCAATAGAATATCTTTTACAAGACATAGTTATGTTAGAACATGTATACAAGAAAACAGACAGCATGATCCGCGCATCATTTAAACACAAAAATAAACTCCCAATCATAGCGATAAACAGTGATATACATGCAGACTTTGGATACAAAATCTTCAGCATTCAGGAAAGACAAGTCCAACTACATGTCAAACAAATACTGAAAGAACTCAACAAAACAAACATTTGTGGAGCAATCACAAGAGGACGGCTGCAACAAACACAAAATCAGGCATGGATAACAAAAAGTATTTTAACAAACCCAAATGTAATCCCGGATGAGAATAAAAGCCTCATGGGATGATGTCTCATCCTGCTGGAGAAACAAAAATTCAAAGTCAAAGAAAATGTCACACATGGATTAGTAAAAACAATCAATGGCAAGGGATGCCATACATTACAAGAAACAATGGGAGAAGAGTGATTCAAAGCCAACAGATCAAATATCAGAAAACATAATATTATGTTCTTTGAACAACTGACTAATGGATTTCAAACACACTTGCTAGAATGGAGACAAATCAAAGCCATAATGGGAAAAAAACCAACGGGAAGACAACCCAAATAGTTTAGGGAAATAAGAGAAA